GAACATGAAGAGTTAATTCACAGAATGAGAGAATATTTGCAAATCATATAGCTGATAAAAGATTTGCATCTAGACAAACAAACAAATTTTACAACTCAATAACAAAGTAAATGCAATTAAAAAGTGAGCAACAGGTTTGAACAGGCATTTTCCCAAGAAGTTGTACAAATGGTTAGTAAGCACATGAAAAGATGCTCAATATCAAAAGTCACTAGAGAAATGCAAATAAGAATCACAATGAGATATCACTTCAGACAATAACAAATGTTGGCTAAGAAATGAAGAGATTTGAACCATCATACACTGCTGGTGGAAAAAAAATGATACAGACATTCTGGAAAACAGTCTGGCAGTTCCTGAAATGTTAAAGATAGATTACCATATGATCTAGCAATTCTACTCTTTGTGTATATCTAGGAGAAAGGAAAACATATGCCAATGCAAAAATTTGAACACAAATGTTCATAGCAGCATTATTCATACCAGCCAGAATGGAAAGTACCCAAAAGTCCAGCAACATGTTCATCCATAATGAATGGATAAACAAAATATGGCATACCTATAATGAAATAGTATTTAACAATATAAATGAAATACATTATTTGGCCGGGCACGGTGGCTCACGCCTGTAATCCCAGCACTTTGAGAGGCTGAGGCGGGTGGATTGCCTGAGCTCGGGATTTGAGACAAGCCTGGGCAACAAGCTGAAACCCCGTCTCTATTAATATACAGAAAATCAGCCAGGCGTGGTGGTGTGTGCCTGTAGTCCCAACTACTTGGGAGGCTGAGGCAGGAGAATTGCAAGAACCCAGGAGGCGGAGGTTGCAGTGAGCTGAGATCACACCACTGCCCACCAGCCTGGGCAACATAGCGAGACTCCATCTCAAAACAACCCCCCCCCCCCCACAAAAAAAAAAAAAACCAACAACAAAAACGGAGTCTCACTCTGTCACCCAGGCTGGAGTGCAATGGTGCGATCTTGCCTTACTGCAACCTCCGCCTCCCGGGTTCAAGCTATTCTCCTGCCTCAGCCTCCTGAGTAGCTGGGATTACAGGCACATGCCACCATGCCCGGCTAATTTTTGTATTTTTAGTAGAGATGTTGTTTCACCATGTCGGTCAGGCCGTTCTTGAACTCCTGTCTTCAGGTGATCCACCTGCCTCGGCCCTCCAAAGTGCTGCGATTATAGACGTGAGCCACTGCGCCCGGCCAAGAAATGAAACATTGATACGTTTCACAACATGGAAGAACCTTGAAAACATTATTCTAAATGAAATAAAACAATTATACAAGACTAAATATAGGCAAATCTCAATAGACAAATGTATAGACAGAAAGTAGATTAGTAGTTGTCCAGGATTGAGGGAAGGAAGAAGAGACTAAGGAGTGACTGCTAATGGGTACAGATTTCTTTTGGGGGTGATGAAGATGTTCTAAACTTAGATTGTGGTGATAGTTGTACAACTCTGTGAATACACTAGAAACCATTTAGTTATACACTTTATTTTATAAAATGTGAGGTGTATCAAAAGAAGGATATTTTTTAAAAGCTATGTAACTAGTCTTTAGGCCTGCAACTTTTGGAGTTTAGGACTTCAGATTTCAAGTGAAGAATGGACGACTTTGGGCCTCCAAAGATATTAAAACTAAGCTTTTGATTTGATTGGATAAGACTGTGATTACCGAACAACAATTCCAGGTATAGATTATGTGTGTTATCAATTAAGGGCAAAATTTTAAGTTAGTTGACTAGTTAGTTCCTGTGTCTGGCCAGATGTGGTATATGTATTTGATGTATAATCCATGGGAACTGTTTGATTCTCAGGCAAGCAGATTGCCCTCTGCTCTGGAATATATTTCCAGGTCAGTTGCCCCCACCATCAATTAGTGTGTGTGCTCAAAAGAATGCAAGCTGATTTCAGCATTATCTTAAACAAAACATAATTAGGAAGGTAAATATCCTGCCAAAAAATTACATAATGCATTCCAAAGCCAATTTAAAATGAATTTTGGACCAACCATTCTGAATATATGAATTCAGCATAGGTTTAAATGGTTAATAGTCATGCATATTGATGTAGAATATAACTTACCTTTTTGAACTTAAACCTTTCTTTTAGGATTCAGTAAATTACTAGTTCAAGTTTCACAGGAAAAATATTAACAAGCTAAAGTCTGAAACATTTGCCTCACTATACGATGTTTATCCGCTGCCTCTAAGGCCTTACATTCTGAAATGTTTGAGTACCTCACTATTCAAAGTGGGTCCACAGCCTGGGAATCACGTGAGAGACCCACCCCCAAACTACTGAATCAGAATCCGCATTTTAAAAAGATCCTTGGGCATCCTGTGTGCACATTAAAGTTTGAGAGGCCTTGCTCTCACACCAGACTGAAGCTCAATGCAGGGCAGCCTCAGGAAAAGTAGGCAGTATTAAGCTATATTAAGTAGGCAGTATAAAAGCTATATTAAGATGATGCATAAGAACAGATTGTAGCAATCTCAAAATGCCCCTATTTGATTCAAAGTGGTAAAAGCTGTAAATTTTCTATTTGTGTAAATACACATGAAAGTTGGGAAGGGAGGTTGTGGTAACTGTTCCTTTTACTTAAATGTCCTGGGAGTTGCAGTGGAGAGGAGCTTGTTCCTAAGGGAAGCTTTTTCGTTTTTCCAGTTGTCCCCAGTTCTACCTCCTGGCTTTGCCCATTCAGCCCCATCACCATATCTCTGGCTAAGTCCAGCCTGAGATAGTTGGCCTGCAAGCAGAAGATGGTTAAGGGTCACTGATGGCAGGAGGGTTCCAGGGTGAAAGATGGAAATCTCTTCCAAGTTCACCTCTCAGTCTGAAAAAGAGCAATCAGACTGAGAAGCACCTCTGTCTGTTTTCCTACTCCCCCCTTAGACACAAAAATATCACCTTTGTATTCCCTAAAGAGCTCCAACTCTTCTAAGTATATATTTTTTGAATAAGTGGAAACCCATCTATTGCCCCTTCCACTTCTCTGTTTCCTGCAAAGGAAGTACATAATGCCAAGTAACTGGGAGCACCTCCCACGTGGATCAGTGGGCTCCAGGCCATGGTGGGCCTGTGGAGACTAGAAAGGACTCAAGAGAGGCTCCTGGAAAGTGGTATTTAAAATACTGATTTTAAGGTTCTACTCTCAAGATTCTTTCTGTTTGTTTTGTAACCTGTTTTTATTCTAATAATATATTTTGAACAGCTTTAAAAAAATTTGTTTAATTAAAATTTTTTTTTTTTTTTACTAAGATGGGGTTGCACCATGTTGGTCAAGCTGGTCTTGAACTCCCGACCTTAGGTGATCCACCCACCTTGACCTCTAAAGTGCTTGGATTACAGGCGTGAGCCACCACGCCCGGCCTGAACAGCTTTTTATACTAAAATACATAATGATTATGCTTACAAAGTATTTCGTTACGTCAAGAGTATATGAAGCGACTTCAAAAGTCCATAGAAAATACTTATTATGAAAAAACCATGCATGCATTTCAAAATTATTTTACACCAAAATAAACCTACCCTTAAGATTCTGATTCAGGAGATCTGGGTTTAGGCCCCAAAATCTACACTTTAACTAGTGCCCCCAAGTGATTCTGATGAAGGTGATCCAGGCCCACACATGAGGAAACAGTGATATAATTGGTTTGAAGACAGCAGTATCACCTTTGCAAATAAATCACTTATTCTTAAGCATCTATTTTAATTTTTGAACTGATGTCAACTTCCTGATTGGTTTCCAAATGGCTTTGCAGTATTCACTCAGCATTTACCGAGCAATTATTGTTTGCAGAGAACTGAACTACCTAAGGCTTGTGCTGTGTTTGGGCTGGGGATAGGAAGCAGAGAAGGATGTGATCACATTAAAGTTATTTCTCAACTTCCTAGAAAAATGACAAACGGACCATTTCAAGACTTGTGAAACAGGTTAACCAAAACATTACCTAACCACAGTTACCATAATTTACTAACCTTTTTGGAGCCCCTGTGTACAAGAGGCACCAAGACTTTCTGGGTGGGAAGGTTGATTCTGCAAACAAACTGCCAGGGTTTAAATCATACTTTCTCCACTTATATGACTATAGAAAAGTTAGCATTTTGGGAGGCTGAGGCTGGCAGATCATTTGAGGCCAGGAGTTTGAGACCAGCCTGGCCAACGTGGTGAAACCTTGTCTCTACAAAAAAAAAAAAAAAAAAAAAAAAAAAAAAAAAAAGAGAGAGAGAGAAGAAGAAGAAAAGTAATTTAACTTTTCTGTAAAATGAGTATATTAACACTTCACTGAGTTGGTACAATAATTAAATGAAGCACTTACATGCCTAATTGATGCAGATGGCTCCAAGAATTTAAATAACATTTACCAAAGACTCACCATATTTTTAGGTTAAAGCTACGAAACCATTGTGAGTATACTAAAGAATGATTATAGGCCGGGCGCGGTGGCTCAAGCCTGTAATCCCAGCACTTTGGGAGGCCGAGGCGGGTGGATCACGAGGTCGAGAGATCGAGACCATCCTGGTCAACATGGTGAAACCCCGTCTCTACTAAAAATACAAAAAAATTAGCTGGGCATGGTGGTGCGTGCCTGTAATCCCAGCTACTCAGGAGGCTGAGGCAGGAGAATTGCTTGAACCCAGGAGGTGGAGGTTATGGTGAGCCGAGATCGCGCCATTGCACTCCAGCCTGGGTAACGAGAGAGAAACTCCGTCTCAAAAAAAAAAAAAAAAAAAAAAAAGAATGATTATAAAGGCGGATGGAAATTTTGAAAAGGCGTAATTAAACTTTATTTTTCATTCAAGCAGTTCACACGCACGATTTTAACCAGAGCGTTTATTTGCTTATTTTTTAAGGTTCCCTAACCCTCGGCCTCTCGGGGAGTTTGATGCCACACTCCTCCCCGAAGTCCCCTTTAAACTCCCAGGCTTAGCGGGGACAGTGGGGCGCGCGGTTGAGGTCAGGAGCCCCGGGGAAGCAGGACCATGGTCGCCGGTGAGCCGCAGCTGCAGTCTAGCCCCGAGGGAGGGAGGAGGAGCCGAGGGGGACCTGGTGTCGCACCCCGCGGGCCACCGCCCCCGTCGGCCGCGCAGCTGGGAGGATGCGGACGGCAGCGAGAGCGTGCGCGGCCACGTGACGGCCGCTATAAGAGCGCACGGGGCAGACGCTCGGCTCCCGCGGTGCCTCCTCGCTGGCCGCGCTGCTTCCCGGCGCCGGCTTCTCTGAGCCACCAACCTGCGGCTGCCCCGGCCGCCTGCGCCCCCGGCAGCACCATGACAGGTACCGCCGCGCAGCGCGCCGCCGCCGGCCCCGGGACCCCGGCTCCCCGGCTCCCCGCCCAGCAGCCGCCTCCCTTCTCCTCCTCCGCCCTCCGCCCCGGGGTGTTCGCGGCTGGACGAGACCGCCGCAAAGTTGCTGGCCGGCTGCAGCCGGGCGTGCTTGTGCCTGCGTCAGCGGCCGCCCCGCCGCCCACAGGGGCGCAGCGATGGGAGCAGCCGGGCGGAGCGCGGGCCCTCGGCGGAGCCCTCGTTCCTGCTTCCGTCTCCTCGCCCTTCCTCCTGCTCTCACGGCAAAGGGCCGGCGGGCAGAGCGCTGCGGCGGGGCGGTGTGGGGGTGGGGAGCCGGTTCCCCTGCGGGCTCCAGGCGGGGGTCCCGCGGCGCAGCGGCATCGTGGGGAGCCACCCTGGCCTCTGGCGGCTCGGAACCCCGGGAAGCGGGGGCCCCAAGGCGGGGATACCGCGGCCTCCGCCCGGCTCCTCGACCGCCCGCCCCGGCCCCGGCCCCGGCCCTGGCCCCGGCCGCCACGCCGAGCCTATTTTTAGGCCTTTGGGGCCGGGTTGCGGGAAGCCGGGAGTCGGTCTAGCGTCCCCGGGTGCGGGCCCCGTCAGGTGGGAGGGCGCAAGCTTTGGCTTCACTTGTTGCGAGGAGTCCGGGCCACTCCACGAGTCAGCCCCAGCTCTGGGAAGCTCCGAGTTAGCTGGTCCTTCCGTGTCATTGACGCTAAATAGCCAGGGTTATTACAGCAATTGAACTGCCGCAAAGATTGCAGGTGTAACCCAGAGTTCAGCCGTCTTTAGGAAGATTAAACTCCTACTCAGCTGTCATTGGTCTGTCTTGGTCATTTGCAATGTTGGCTAGTCTGGTGTTCTAACCTGTGTGCTAAGCATTTGTTCTATCCCTTATTTAATCTTGGAAATCATCCATATCCTTGCTTCCTAAAATCCTTGAACCCTGCTCTCCTTATTGCATTTTTCTCCATGATCTCCTGGAACCTGGACTTCTTTTGAGTTAAATGATCATTCATTTTGCCCAGTTTAAGTATCTTTGGTGCAGATGGACTGCAGTTACCCGTCATAAGATATTAGAATGGGCTGAAGATAATAGAAGCAAGTACAGGCAGATGTTGATGGGCCTGTCAAAGGACAGGTGTCACCATTGTTCAGAGCTTTCCTAGAGTGTGAATGACTGGGAAGCCAGTGGCCTTCCGTGGGTTGGGGAACTCGTCTTCCTACAGCTTAGTGGTTGGCCTGTCCTGGGAGAGGGCCCAATAAAATGTGTGAAGGTGGCTGTCAAGTCAGCAGCCGAGGGATGCGTTGGCCCACTAGGCAACCCACAACTTCCTCTCACTTCTCAGTGGAATTTCCACCGTTTCTAGCCTCCGCCTTGGAAAACGGGCAAGGGAGAATGAGGAAATCCAGGACAGAAAGAGGACTTCATGACAAAATGTCCCAACTCCCTGGTAGGCAAATGACTCCTACCAGAGCTTGATCTGAAGTGTCCTAGGCATTTGTGTGCCCACCAACTTGCTAATGTTTCTTGGAGACGGAACGTGGCCCAGAATTGTCCCAGGGAATGACAAGAATCTTGAAGCTTGTCCTAGGGGACTTAGGTGGGTGGGGACTGTTCAGTAGGAAGAAAAATCCACGTGGCAACTAGATGATTATTGGAGACTGGGATTCGTGTCTGTTGCGTGGAGGCGGGAAGGGAAAGGGAGCAGGATGGATCTGCACCTTCTTTCTTCTCCAAAGAAAAGCAGGCAGGTTGGTTAGGAATGCTTAGGTGATCTCCAAATCTATCAGTGATTGATCGCTATTTAGATAGAAGCATCAGGGAGGGAAGACCTCTCTGAGGTGCTGATATTTGAGGGGAAAGTCAATGTGATTCTTTAGGGATACCGGGGCAGGGGAGCCTTTGCTCCAGGTTGTGAAAACTGTTACGTATAAGATGCCTGGAGTCCGGGGCTGCAGTGAGCTATGATCACACCACTGCACTCCAGCCTGGGTGACAGAGTGAGACCCTGTCTCAAAAAATAAATGAGTAAATAAATAAATAAATCCTGAGGCATGGCATAAACATAAGCACCAGAATGAAGAATGTACACTCTGCTTTCAGACTGTCTGAATTGAGTTTGACAGTTGGTTTTATGCTTGGCTGAAAACACTGTCTACAGTACCTTGTAGAAGAAACAGAAAATGCATGACTTGATCTCTTCATTACCATCTGTTAATTGCCTGGAGTTCAAACTCTGGGTATTAACCTATTGTTTTGTCTGAGAATTTAGCATGTCAGGACTCTAAATTGGATTTAATTTCAATAGCTTAACCTCTTGAAGGTTACCATATGTGCCTGCTGTGATCTTGAACCATTCTTAAAGTGGGTACTTGGGGTTTTCTCCCCAAAAAGGCTACTGCTTTATTCGTAGAGAAAGTTGATGTTAGAGGAGCTGGTTTTGCTAAATTACTGTTTGAATGGGTTCCTAGGGAAAAGACTTTCTCCAGATAATATATTGTAATGAGTGTTTTTTTTTTTCTCTTTGTATTAAGATCAGGCCTTTGTGACACTGACCACAAACGATGCCTACGCCAAAGGTGCCCTGGTCTTGGGCTCATCTCTGAAACAGCATAGGACCACCAGGAAGCTGGTCGTGCTCGCCACCCCACAGGTCTCAGACTCCATGAGGTGAGGACCTTGCTGCCCCGCCACCATCCACAGAGTCTCTGACATCCTTCTCCCTGTTTCTGGCATTTCGGGACATTGAGGCCATACTCTTTTCAGGAGTTGAGCACCGGGTAGAGAAAAATGAGAGATGCTGAGTGAAGGATTTCTGGATTTGAAACCTCTTCCTAGCTTTTGGGAGATACTCCAACTAAATACTTTTCTGGAAGGTGGTGTGCTGGCCCACACTTTCTGATTCCAACTGGGAGTGGAAGGAGTCATCTTCCTTCACTCCATCCTCTCTGGGTGACCTGAAGCCAGGCATTCCTTGCTTATATGCACCTTTATGCAGTCACAATTCATGGACATTCCTTTCCCCAGATGCAGCAGGGGCTGCATTGTTTCATGTTGCAAACTAGTAACTCTCAGGGACTTAGACAAGTAGCTATTTTCTCCATTGCCAGTTGACATTTGTAAGCTAAAGATCTTTATTTACAGTATAAGATACTAGAATCTTTACCAAAGCTTTCTGAACTAGGTTTTACTAGGGGAACCACACTAAAGAGTATAAACTGCTTCATGATTGGTTAGTTCACTTTGATCTAATGGAATCCAGGCTGGGCGCAGTGGCTCACAAGTGGGCAACAGAGCAAGACTCAGTCTCAAAAAAAAAAAAAAGAGAGAAAAAATTGAAGTATCTGAATGAGCTACCTAGTCCCTAGTACTAACTTTAAAAATATCTGGGCACACTAGCAGCTTTGTGATGTGTTTATTTTTGTGGTCTTCTTGCCCTCTTAGAAATTGAAAATGCCCCTTTTGTGACCTTTTTTTCCAAAAAATATAAGCACAGGCCAAGGGTCTCTAAAAAGTAGGCCTTATATATACATACATGTATCTTTCACACTAACAACCTTGTTCCTAAATGGTAATTTAGGAAGATGCCAGAAAGGCTGTCTGCTAATGTGTGTACCCTAATTTGTAGTCTATTAGGATATGTCTAAAAAACCAGATCTAGCCTTGCATTTTGCATTTCTCATCACCACCATCAATTTACTTGGGTCGGTGATGCTCCTATTTCTCCTCAAAAACATCAAGTTTACTGTGTGAACTGGAACATATTTTCGTACAGCTTTGGAGACAATACAGTATCAGTTTTGTTCCGCATCTTTGATGTTATGCTAAACTTTCAATGATGATACATTTTCATCCTGTGTTTTTTCTTGTGCTCGATTTAATGTCTTACCCAAATCTACCCTACTAATCCACCATCAAGAACTTTCTAAGGCCGGGCGCGGTGGCTCAAGCCTGTAATCCCAGCACTTTGGGAGGCCGAGGCGGGTGGATCACGAGGTCGAGAGATCGAGACCATCCTGGTCAACATGGTGAAACCCCGTCTCTACTAAAAATACAAAAAACTAGCTGGGCGTAGTGGTGCGTGCCTGTAGTCCCAGCTACTTAGGAGGCTGAGGCAGGAGAATTGCCTGAGCCCAGGAGGCGGAGGTTGCGGTGAGCCGAGATCGCACCATTGCACTCCAGCCTGGGTAACAAGAGTGAAACTCCGTCTCAAAAAAAAAAAAAAAAAAGAACTTTCTAAAATAAAGCCTTGCTTAATTGGGGCATAGAGAAGTGTGGTACCTCACGAACCAAAGTGAATCTCTCATTATACTTAAACAGAGTGCTCAGCATATAGTAAATGCTGGCTATATTGGATTCTATAAAATGGCAACCTAATAAATGGAGCCCTTTACACATTTTTGCAAGCTCTTGCCGCAACCTGCCTGCTATTCAGTGATACGGTAAAAAAAAAAAAAACAATTGCTTCTATAATAATGTTTTGAGACAAGCATTTCATCCTCACCATAAGTAGTTCTTACTACTTTAGTGAAGTTAACTGGCCATGCAAATAAACCCAATTTGTCCTGGAGTAAAATTAGAGCAGATTTAAGGGTACATAGTCTACTAAAGCAATACATTCTTCTAGTAATTCATGGAGAGGGTAATAAAGCATCAGTCTTTATACTAGATGGGTCACTTTTTCTGCAAAGATGCTAAGTGCCCTTTTCTGGATTTTATTTTGACAGAAAAGTTTTAGAGACAGTCTTTGATGAAGTCATCATGGTAGATGTCTTGGACAGTGGTGATTCTGCTCATCTAACCTTGATGAAGAGGCCAGAGTTGGGTGTCACGCTGACAAAGCTCCACTGCTGGTCACTTACCCAGTATTCAAAATGTGTATTCATGGATGCAGATACTCTGGTGAGTGTGGCTTTGAGGGTAGAGAAGACATATATGGTAATGGAGACCTGTTAGGCATTTGAGGAATGCTGTCGAGACTTGACAGTAAAGTTCAGATAGAACCACTGTCATGAAAGGTGTCGGGGAAGGAGGAGAGGAGGCCCAGGCTGCCTTACAGCTGTTATCATCTTTTGTGTTGAATGACAGAGAGAGAACTTAAGAAGGGTCTGTCTGCTCAGCAAAAACATTTCTCTAATGCTCTGTCTCCCCTTTGATCAGGTCCTAGCAAATATTGATGATCTTTTTGAAAGAGAAGAATTGTCAGCAGCACCAGACCCAGGGTGGCCTGACTGCTTTAATTCTGGAGTTTTCGTTTATCAGCCTTCAGTTGAAACGTATAATCAGCTGTTGCATCTTGCTTCTGAGCAAGGTAGTTTTGATGGTATGTATCTGTTGTCTTCATATCTGAAAAGCTGCTAATAATTAGTAATTTCTAGGTGCTGTTCTTCTCGGGAATATAATTGCTGTGGTTTCTTCTGCCTGGAAGATACAAGAGGTGGCACAAGCATTTTAAGTTGTGCTCTTTTGGGAAATTGTGTGTATGTGTATGTATACATGCATCTTTTTCTATGGATGCATAAAATTAACCTAAACTATGATAGGCAATTTTATAGGATTGCCTTTAAGTTGTCTTCCTGTATCTAATTTGGATTATGATAAATGTACTATGATTATTCAAAAATTCAAAAGTCTGAAAAACTTTAACATCTATCTTTGAACCTAAGTAAACTTAAGCTCAAGAGAGTTTGACATTCCAGGAGGATCAAGCATTGCCACTATGGAAACTTGAGGAATAAACCTGATAATTTGGATCTCATTCTCTCAGGCAACATAAAAATGAAGATAGAAAGTTTATGTGAATAATCTTTGCTTCCAAACTCTCATTCTCCATAAGGCTGTGTGCCAGAGTGGTATCTGCAAGGCCAAAAAGTAGAATATTGACAAAGTCAGCATCCATTTTATTTAACACATAAATGTATTTGTAGTTATATTTATATAACACTTCTGTCTGTAATATAGCGCCTCACATCTTTTGGAGAAGTTGATCAAATGAAATGCTTTTGTTTTAGGCCAACTGCTGAAATAGTAACAAGCCATGTTTTTAAAAACAAAAACACGCAGGACAAAACCAGTAGTTAATATGCAAAAGGAGTTCCTTGAAGAATTATTTTTGATGATTGTTTTGAATAAAGACCCAGAACAGAGAAGAAGAAGGACATTCTCTAAGAAGCCCTCCCAGCAGTGATTTCCTAACAGATGTGGACATTGCAGCCGAGCACAGTGCTGTGTGCTATTCACATGGGGATGGGCCAGAGGCCCGAGCTCTGCTGGAGACACAGTGGGGGGCTTCTTTCCTCCTCTCGCCTTTCCAAGAGTAGAGCTGAGATTTGCAGGAAGTAGATCTTTTGGAAATAGCAGAAACAGATTTTCTCATATGACAAAAGATTCAGTCCTGGGTGCAGATAGGAGGATTCAGTTTCATTAACCAGTTAGTTAAAAATCAAAATGCTAAACTTTAAAAATGAAAACATTAGACCTACATGTTTGTTAGCTTGCCGAGGTGAAGATATTGGAAGTTAAAACATTTTAAATTATACATAAAACTGAGATTGGGTCTTCATTGTTGCTATTCACAGAAATTGAATTCTTTTTAGTTATTTGGCTGAGGATTTGGGAATTGTGGCTACTTGAAATGTCATTGAAAATAATAAGGAAATAAGTCTCAGTTTTGTTTTACTATTTAGCTTGTTTATACTCTAAGCTAGTAGTTCTCAAATAAGGGCGATTTTGTCCCCCACAGTACGTTTGGCAATGTCCGGAGACATTTTTGGTTGTTATAACTGAAGGGGGAAGAGGGTGCAAAGGGCATCTGGTGAGTAGAGGCTGGCGCTGCTAAACATCCCACAATGCACAAGACGATCTCTTACAACAACGAGTTATCCAGCCCAGCACGTCAGTAGTGCTGAGGCTGCGAAACTCTGTTCTCTACATGCTCTGAAACAGAGCAGGAGTATTTGTGCCATAATGTATGGCAGCATCTAACAAGAAGCGAAGTCTTGTTTTAAGCAGCCTTAACGTAAGAAAATAATAATGTGTTAAATGTTCACCATGGTCCAGGACAAATGAAACTTCTTCACTTCACTGACATGATTTTAGCTCCTGCTATTTTCCCCTCATAGAAAGAATGAAAGCTTTATTAGTATTTAAGTTCGAAACATGTATTCCTTATTTCTGCTGCTTATAGTGAAAGTTGCCTTTGCGTAAAAGGAAGAGGAGTGTTTTTAGCAGAAGGCCATTTTTTGTCTTAACCTTCCAGTGTAGCTTTCTTCACCTCCTCTCCTAATTTGAAGGAAGTAAGTGTAATCCTGCCAGAAATTCAGTGTAACTCTTCTCAGCTTCAGTAAGTGAATCACATTCTAAAGAACATCTTGTGGCTTGCCAACTGCCTGAAATCCACATGATTTTAATCATGTGAAGAGAATCCAATTTCTAACCTAGAAAACCATTAGATGTTGTTGAGAGGTAAGACTTTGGATGCCAAACAGTAATGTGCCATGATAAATTATCTAGGTTATAATTTGAGAATATGAAACTCATTAATTAACCTACTCATTGTTAAAAGAAGCTCGGATGTGTGCAAAGCGCTCGACTAGGAAGCACTTCCTGCTTTTTCAGCCAGAATCTGAAACCACCGTGAGATTCTGTCTGTGCCTCTAGCACATTTCATTATTCAGCAGCAGGTTTCCAGGTGCTGGTCATCCTCTGAGGTATTCTATTTACTGGTTCGTTGGTGGTGAAGGACTGAATTTTCTGTTAATAGAAATTGAAAGAGTTAAAAAGTCAACTGTGCAGCTGAGAACTTATAATTAGTTCTCAATATGTTGTTGAAATTTAGCAGAAAAATAAGTTAGCAGTTCTGAAATCAAAGATTTTTTTCACTTGAAATATGTGTTAAGCTTTACTTAGCAAAGGAAGCTCGCTCCGTACCTCAGGAGCCTGCTTCTGTCTGGAGGGGTTTGCTATCCACTTGAATCAATGTGTGAACCGTGCGACATAAAGACATGTGGGACTTATGCTTGATAGCAATAAAATAGTTCTTTATGAACAATGACTTTGTCTAATGGCAGTAACCTTTGCCTCTTGTTTTCAATATGTTGTATAAAAATTATAAGTATAGTAAACCTTAAAAATTAAGAATTATATAAAAAATAATTTTGGTTAGGTGTCATGCCATAGGCACTGATGAACATTTTCAGGTGTTTCTTTCACAGTTACCTACATTTTCTCACAACTATACTTTCTCCCTGCACCACCCCATAGTTCATTTTAAGTCCCAGAATTTTCAGATCAGACCAGTTTTGCAGACTATCTCAGTGTGAATATCTTGCAAGTCCTGCTTTTAACCACTTTCCTGTGTTCAGCAGAAAACTGCTGGGGCCTGGTTGTCCGCTGACAAGCACACAGGCTGTTCATGGCTGAGCATTTGCAGCTGCTTTTGCAACTCTTCTCATGCAAAGGAATGTGGCTGTCATTCTTCTAATCACCAGCCCTGTACTCATAGCCCCTCCACCTCTCTGCTCTGTGACTCTGGCCAAGAAAATAATCCTAATATGGCAAACTGTACTAGGTACCTTGACTTCTCTTTCTTCCCACAATTCTAGAATGTTAGAATTTAGAACTAGTGACTACATACCTAATTCATGGCTGGTGTCTAATTTTCCATAACTAAGAGTCAAGCTTCTATACTGTTGTATTTTTAAACTGTCTTGGCACTTACTTCATCACTATAGTTACATGCTTCACAAAAAATTGAACAATAGCTGTTGTGAAATAGTTTTACACTATCATTGTATAGGATGTGACAAGATAAGGTTAGCTTTAGGGCATGTTAGCAGTAAAAGGGGAAGAGAGAGGTCATAATGTTGTAGGTTCTAATCAGCAGTTTTGTTTCTGCCACATCTGTGAAGTGAGGCTGATGAACTTGACTTTTAGTTTGAAGAAATCAACCTGAATGCAAGTTGAGGTTTACTTTCTTTTCTCCCTGACTATCTTAAGAATGCATGTGTAGTTGAAGAGTTAAGTGCTTAAAAATTGTTGTCTGTTTCATCTGTACATGTTAGTTTCAAAAACCTAAGTCAGAGGAATTCATATTTTCTAATTTAGAATATCCTTAAAAAACATGTGATACTCATTTTGATTACGGCAATGTAAATATTCTAAACTTTTCGATTGGTGTACTGGAATTTTGGTCTTCAGTGGAATTTCTAGAAAGGAGAAAATGGGAAAGAATAAATTAGTGGCAGAATATTAGGTATGGTTTTATTTAAGTAGAATCTGGGATCTGCTTTGAGGTCATTTTATTTGTGTGTTCCAAATTCTAAGTGGTCGTTGAGTCCCATAAGCAGAGTACAGTAATGTTTATCAATAAGGTTTAACAAATGATTTGGTGCTACACTCTATTAAAGTGTAAAATTGACCTTAGAGCTACCTTTTAAAATCTTTATAGTTAATTAGGCTTCATGTTGGACCTGCCCAAAAAAAGAATGAAGGACTGAGGCCTTTCAAGCTAGTGCTTGTCTTGTCCAAACCAGATGAGTTCAGAAATTTTGGTGTGCTTCACTGGGTTCCCTGACTTGATAGGTCAGCCTGGACAGTTATCTTTCCATGGTGACTTCCCCCAGCTCCCCCAGGCACTAGGCTGCTTGTTCTCCTCAGTAATTTATCAGTTGTTTTGGAAATGACTCTGTTCTCTTGCATTTATGTCATTTTGTTGTTGATAGTTTAGATAATAAGTATCTTGAGGAAAAGCAAAAGCCATCACGTAATGGCAAAATTAATGAGCGCACGTAAATTTTGTTCTTAAGAGCTATTTTTATCTCATTCTACCTGTGGCTGTATTTTTTTAACTTAGCCATCTGTCTCTAGCTTTGTAACTATCAGAGATCATGAACACTGTGAGAAATAGAGGAATAAGAAGGGACTAACGTGTTACGTGTGTGCATGGTCATTTTACCTACTTTTTCACTTATTTCTCAGCAGTCCTGTAAGGTAGGCATTCATGCATCCAGTCATGTAACAAATATTCATTGAGAGCCTGCTGTGGAGCTAGCACTGAGGACTGCCATTGTTGCAGTTCAGGACAGCAGCTTGCCTGGCGCCCCTGAGCTAAGGCAAAGTCAGGTCTGAACCAGGGTCCTTCTTAGCTCCGTGTTGCAGCGGGGTGGTGGTGGTGGTGGTGGTGGTGGTTTCCATTCCCAATTCTCTCATAGGGCAGCTTTCTTGAGTATGTATCTTCAGAATGATAGAGGATGGAGGAAGATCCCTATTACCTTGGCTTTATGACAGATTAATTAAGTCGTTTCTCTGAGTAGACAGAGCAGC